AGTCTGATAGCATCAGTGGATCAGAGAAATAGTCCTAATATGTGGTTTGAGACACTCTGAGCAGTCATAGCTTTGCTTAATACAGTGAAGCAGTATCTGAATACAATGCTGAAAGCAGCAACAGATCCCACTACAAGTCCCACAGAGATTTATTCTCAGGTTCAGGTCCAGCCTCAAAGATCCCTGGAGTGACAGCCACCCATAGAGACCCAAAGCAGGTCCAGAGAAATCCCTAGTCACATAAAAAGGAATCATTCCCCATACTTGTATTATCATTTTACAGTTTAGAAAGCTTTATTCACATATTAGGTGAGGATTAATCTGTAAGTATACATTTGTATGTGTTTAATATAAAATAATAATGTTTAAAATAAAATTACATAACACAATTATTATAATAATTAAAATATATAATATGAACTGATTTATAATTAATACTAATATTTAATATGTATACTAAAGAATCCAAAGCCTAGAGAGCTTTACTTAGTCTGGATCATCCTTCAGATCTCAATTTTGGACAGTTTTGAAGAAAAACTTTCCTAAACTCTTATACCACATTAGATTTACTATTATTTTCTCTTATAATGCACTCTATTTATCATACATAATACTTTGTATTTTTATGTTGGTAAGTGCCTCTTTCCCTCACTAGAGTATGAGTTCCAAAAGAGCAAGGTCCTGTTCAGTCATATTATCTTTGGTATTTGTCACCCAGACCTTTTGAAAAAATCATGAATGAGAGAAGAGGACTCTTAAAGACTATGTCGTCTACCACATTAAAAAGAAGAAAAAGAAGATAAAATAAGGGAATTACCCAGGTTCATACTACAAGGAATGGCATAGCTGGCATGGAACTCAGTCTCCCGATACTCTGTCCAGGGCTTTTTCAATGCATCATTAATCCTGATTACATTTAGGCCCCAGCTCATCAGGAACCAGGGTTAAGGAAAGGCCATGGCATTCAATATTTAGATGTCACTTCATTTTCAGACCTGCTCAACAGGGATGCTTCTTTTTCATCAACAAATACTTATTGAGCACCTACTATCAAGAATACACAGTCCTAGGCACTAGGGATATTGTTATCAATAAGATAGAATCACTACTCTCATGGAACTTTACAAAGGACACAGACAAATAACAATGTAAAATGCCGCCAGAAACTTTTATATTATATGCAAAGGGAAAATCACTTTAATATATAAATAACTCCAAAAATCAATTAAGGGAAATAAATCAGCAGATTAATAGAAAACTAGGTATAATAGGCATGGCTCTTACCTTCACGGAGCTTGTAATCTAGTAGAAAAACCCCTTTCCCTCCAAGGCAAGGGGAGTGGCTGGGCTGCAAGGTTTTAGAGGGCCAAAGGAAATGGTGAGCTCTTGAGTATTCTTTCTCATGCTTTCCTAGGGCACAGCTAATAAATATTTGAATCTCAGCTCTTCCACTTACTAAATATGTGAGGAAAATTGCTTAATTTGAGTTTAGGTGTCCTCATTTGTAAAATGAGAGTAATACTTATTCTACATGGTAGTTAAGAGTAATAAGGGATATAATGTGAGAGTACTTGGTTCCTAATAAGTCCTCAACAAAACTTGTGTTTCCTTCCATTTCCCACTTCTCATTCTGCCTAGAACTGAGAATTCAGGAGCAGTGCCCCTTCTTAGGACAATATATAGCTTTTTAGCTGCTTACCTTGTATTACCTGGCCTTGACAGTAGCTCTCAGGTATACTGCTTTACTAAAATACCATAATGTACCTATTTATTAGCTCTATTTTTAAGTGGGCAAATGAATAGCCAGAAATATTAGTAATTTACCCAAGGCTGCACAGCTGGAAAGTATCAAACTAGAATTCAAATCCCAGTCTTTGAACTTCAATTTCAATGCCTTTGTCACTGTAGCACAAGGCCTCACGTGACAGCCTGCAATGCCTGTCGCCAGTCAAGAGCCCACTGTGAGTGTCTTTAATATTTTTTATTCCCAAGTTAACCTAATTGTAACACTATTTAACAGTAAGAGATATTTGTCCATCTGTATTGTAATATCTGCTTTTGGGTTGGAAAATTCAGGTTGTACATTTGAGGTTGTGAACTTCCTATTGCCACACAAATTGTGAGGGTTGACTCTCAAGATGAAATTGTGGAAACTGACATATGCAAATATAAGACAGGAACATTAAAGAAAAGAGTCATGGTGACTAACCCTATAGAGAAGTATGTAGGAATTGTCTCCTAAATCAGTGCTAAACCAAGTTCTAGCATCCTAGTTTTAGATGTTTAGCTGTAGTGTAAGCTCAAGTATTTGGCCTAAATTATCTTTGTGTACCCCCAAATGCACCATCTTTGCCCTTCCTTTAGTCAATGGAAATGCTGGGAAGGTTAAAATGATCTGTTTGTGCCAAATCAGTGACATCAGGGGCACCAACCTGAGTCTGAATTAGGCATATATATTCTAAAGAAATTCCATTTTATTCCTTTCAAATATATGCAGTGGCTATTGGAAGTTGGTTCCTCCTTCCTTCTTTTCCCATCCATTCAAAACTGCTGCCTAGAGGTTTTTACCCTTGGGTGCATCATTTTATGAAACAGATGAGAATGGTTGAGTAGGGTCACTTCATTTGTTTCCATTACAGATAGAAGCTTCTGAAGGTCTCTGCCTGGGAATAAGGTACAGGAAGTGAAGAGTGGAACCAGTTTGCTTATCTAAGTCTTTAAATAACTCTCCAGAATTCCTACCTTATTTATTTTTTCTTTCTAAGCTAAGCAAATATGAGCTTCAGCTCAGCCTGCCTAATGAACATAACTTGGAAATTGAGGGTTTTCTGGATAAAATTGCCCTTGTAGACAGAGATAAATAACTTGAATTTGATATTTATTAGCCAGAGTCATACTCCATTTCTGTAGATGGCTTAGAAATTCTTACCCTTCATAAATTATTGCATTACATTTAAATCCTGCCTCTGTTTACTAGCTGTTTTACTCTAGGGAAGTGAAGTGATCTACCTGAATCTCAGTTCCTCATCTGTCAAATGGGTATAATTATAGTATCTCCCTCATAATTATTGTGGGGCTATTATATAAACTGATATATGTAAATGACTTGAGACAGTGCTTTGTAAGTTCACAATACATGCTTATTATTATTATAGTACAAAATGAATATCCTGGTAGGTCCAAGATTTTGCCTGATTTTTCCTCGAGTACTTTTGGTGTGTTGGATAGGACGTTGGGCCACTATTATTCTAATATGTCTATAGATATTCAAATATATCATTACGCTTATATTTACCCTGTTACATCAGTGGTCCTTCCATTCACACAAGCTATGTTCTTCCTTATCTCTGCACTTGTACTCATAATCTTCCATGTGCCTGTAATGTCCTTATCTAACTGTTGATCTTATTATTCTTCAGGGATCTTTACAGATGCTGCCTTTTCTGTGAAGTCTTTTGTCCAATTCCCAAAAGAAAGGGAATTAAACTTTCTTTTCATGGCCTAGGCTTCAAAATTCTTTGTATTAGAGATGGAAAGGCACAGTATCACCTCTACTTTCTCTGGCTTCTCATGCCTCACTGGATAAGTTTCAAATCCTCAACATAACATACAAGGCTTTCACTAATTTGCCCCTACTTACCTCTCCTACCTTGCTTCAAGCTGCTATCCTTCAATCACCCTATTCCAGGTCACACCAGCCTCTTTATCCTCCTGGAATATGACACATTTTTTCCCATTTTGGAGCCCTTACACATGTTGTTTCTTCTGCCTGGAATGGCTTTTCTCCAATTATTCACTTGTCTCACTCCTCATTCTTCAGTCTCATTTCAAAAGTTACTTTTTCTAAGAGGTTTCCTTGACCTATCCAATCCTTGTGGATTAAGTTCTCTTGTATGTATTCTCCCAGTTCTCTGTGCCTCCTCCTTTTTATCATATGTACTTGTTAATTATTTGTTTAACAACTCTTTTTCCACCACACTGCAAGTGACAAGGAGACAGACATCTTATTTCTCTTGTTCATCTCTGTATGTGGAGTGCCTCACACCATACCTGCTACTTAGAAAACATTCAACATATATGTACTGAGTGAAGTAATTTAGTCTAGTCTTATTGAAGAGATGGAAGTATGAAGACCCATAGACGGAGAGAGATTTACTCAGGGTCACACAGAAAATCAGTGACAAAGAAAAGACTGTAGCCCAAGTCTCTTGACTTTCAGTGCAGTGCTCTTTTCCATGCACCTCCACTATATTGCTTGTTTCTTCTACATGCTTTCTATCAATCTGGCTCTTGGACTAGGCTGTGAACTCCTTGAGGGCAGGAACCGTATCTTATATGTGTGCTGGCCAATGTTGTAGCTACTAGCTACATGTGGCAACTGAACACTGAAAACATGGCTAGTCCAAATTGCTATGTACTATAAGTATTAAACACATACAATACTTCAAACAATGTGAACTATCTCACTGATTTTTTTTTACATTGCTTGTAGGTTAAGATAACATTTGGGGTGCATTGGGTTAAATAAAATATATTATCAAAGTTACTTTCACCTGTTTATCTTTCAAATTTTAATGTGGAAATTAGAAAATTTGTGGTTCATATTATATTTCTATTAAATATATATTATTGCTTTGTTGTATATTTATTTTTTCCCTTGGTGCCAAGCACAGAGTTTTGCATCTAGTAAATGCTCAACACACTGTTGTTGAATAAAGTTGAACTGTAGTTGGTAAGTTAATTGCTGCCACCTTTTTTGTCATCATCACTGGGTTTGTGGGAAACCTCACAATGAACCCTTTGTTCCCAGACCGAGGGGTACATGAAGTTCTTCAATCCTGGCTTGGGGTGCCCTGTACATTGCGTTAGCCTTTGGGTTTCTTTTCAGAGGAAGCTCCAGTGCAATCATATGCACAGCAATCACCAGGGTTGAAATGGAGTGTGTGGACACCAGTCTCTTGCACAAGAAGTGGCTTCAACTTTGCAGTTGTTCCTTGGGCCTCTTTTTGACAGGCTTCCAGTGGAAGATGGGACTGCAGATGAAAAGGGAAATGAACTTGAGGCTGAAGAGGACCTTCATGGAGGTGAGATAAGCTAAATAATGTGGGGACCTTGGGCTATAAGGTCTCCTGCATTTGTTTATGCACTGATACATTCATTTGCTCAACTCACAGTTCTGTGGCAACTATTTCATTCACAGCCCTGTGGAGAAAAGAAAAGATCAAACACAGTTCCTATTTTGGGCAGTTTTTAGTCTTCTGGGAAAAATAGACACATAAGTATGGTATGGACAATTTCTTGAGATTAGAAGCAGGAAATGCAGGGAGCAACTAATTTCACTGAAAGAGGGGTGGTAAGAGGAGGCTTTCCAGAGATAGTGAGCATGATTATTTTCTCTATGCATCTTTTCAGATCTAGCTAAAATCCTATTTTTCTAAGAACCATTTGAATCATCACTACCTCCTGACCCCCTGTCCTGGAAGAATCATGCCTTTACCCACTCCTCTACTAGCTTTGTACATTTGTCAGATCACTTGTCTCACGCTGTAGAAAGACATAATTCTTTGGGTACATGCCTGTGTCCTTTTCCCTTCCAGCCCTAGTCTCCCTTAATATGATGTGGTGATGGAGGCTCAGACAAGCTGTGCATGATTTTTTCAAAGGTATGTAGTTAATAAGTTCCAGAGCTGGGTCTACAACTCAGAGGCTATAACCTAGAGTCTAAGACACAGAGACTGACTCAAAATTCACTGTTCTTTCCATTATATCACTGAGTGAATAAATGAATGTGTTGCAGTGTGGGACCCCAGCACTGCCTGCCTGCTCCCCACATCCAACTCTCTTCTCCCTCATCCCCCTACATAGACATAGCCCAATCAAAGAGTACCCAAAATGGGAGGACTTTATGTCTTTTGGTTAGACAACAGACCTAAAGTAAAAGTGCCCTTTGTGCTGTTGCTGCAAAGTTGTCACTTCTCAACATGCTTTGTATTTGTGAGGTAAAGAGGAGCCCCAAGGAGTCCAAAGCTCTTTGCTCCAATTCAAGTCTTCTGCATAGATGGCATAATTTGTCTATCCTCCTGGCTCCTAATACTCTCCTTAATGTACCTATTATGGGGCTCAGCATGGCCACCATTAATTCTACTTTATGTGAAGACATTGTCTCCAGAGGCCAGTAGATACCTTAACTGATAACTGAGATAAAAAGGAGTGGTTTGCTGTACTTAATCTCCATGGTGTGAGAAGGGCAGGTCCCACCCTAGTGAAGTGCCTGGAGGAAAAGCCTGTCTCCACCCCATGCTTTGGTCATAAAGCAAAAAGAAAAAGGAAATGAATCTTTCTAGAAGCCACATCTGGGGAAACTGGTCTCAGGACCAAGCCAATGAATTATTATCGTAGAAGGAAGTTTTCTGCAGAATAGTGTGAGTGCAAGTGAATCCTTATCTCAGACTGACCCTAGAGCCTCTAGGCCCTGCAACCACAGGGAAACCCATAGTGATGGAGGGGCAGGGATAGAGGGTGTTATGAAGGATTCAGGAAATGTTTGAGTTGAAGAGGCCACCAAGATCATCTGATCCAATCTCTGTTGGTTAAGTGGGAAACCAAGGCTAAAGGAAGGAACAGAACCAACAGACCTGGGACTATGGCACTGGACTCCTGGCTCTCAGAATATGGTCTCTTCTCTTAAACCTGAATTTATAATACTACATGTAGTATGGAAAGATTATTCACCAGGGTTTGAGTACTGCCCAGGATCCTACTTCTGCTATATAGATTAAGGGCTGGGAGTTGGGCACTGCAATCACTCAAGGTGATCCCAATTGTACCCTGAAAGCATTGCAAAAATTACCTCTCCCATGGCTGTTATCAGGATTCATGTTGTAGAGCACTGCATAATGGGAATCCAAAATCTTTCTGGCTATGAACAGGGATTGCCCAAAGGTTGCAAACACAATCTGCTAGGAAGCCGCTCACTTTCTTCTGATAACTTTCATGTCTCTCATGAAGCCTGAAGGTCACAGTGGAACTTTGGGGTCTGGCACCGTCTTATCATTCTCTAGGTAAACTACTTTCTTCTTTTCTTGTGACCAATGTGAAAGAGTAGAAAAAGCCTAACATTTGGAGTCAGAAAGATGTTAGGGCAAATCCTGTCTTCTTCATTAGTTCTTAGTTTTGTGTTCTTAGGCAAGTCACTTTACTTCTTTGTGTCCAGTTTCCTCACCTATAAATACACATAATGATAATACCATACCAAAATGTTGTTGGTTAAATGAGTTAACACATGTAAAACACATAATAAATACATTAGTAGATGTGAATTTCCTTCTGTAAGCCCCTTGGATGCCAGAATGTGATCTCTGGTCAGAGCTTTGCCAACAGGTCCAGCTTCATTGGCATGGTGACCTGTAGAGTTTCACAGGGCCCCATTCTTGGCTTAATGTTCTGCTATCACTATCCTGAAATTCTTAATGTTTTTAATGAGGCTTCTCATTTTCCTTTTGTATTGAGCCCTGCAAATTATATAGCTGTTCCAGCGGAAACACCAGGCCAAGGGAGAGTATTAGGTAAAACACCCTAAAATGAGTATTTTCGGGATTCTGACAGAGTGAGAAAACCTATTATTTGGAATTGATAGAAATGAATTTAACTTCCAGCTATGCTGCTAATTTGCTTTTTGTTATCAGGCATGTACTTTTTTCCTTCAGAATGTCCATTTATCAATTTTGATACTGGGATTTTCATTTGATAATATCTCAGCTCTGACAATCCAGGATTCCCTCATTAACTCTGGGGAAACCTCCCTGATCCATAGTCAGAGCCTAGGGCAGCCAGGGGCTTTCCCCTCCAACTCTTTGCAACTTGAGGAGCCAGTATCTGTTGGAGGTCATTTGGGAGTGGTTAGGGGCATGGCAGTGGGTACTGTTGCTGCAGTAGTAGACCCTTTCACAACAACACTGTTTTGTCATTTTGCACCCAGATTTCCGTTGGCTAACCTCAGCCTTATCTTCCTCATTTCTGTTTCCTTTTGAAGACACCCAGGGACCTTCAAAACTCACGACCTTCCTGCTCAAGGCATAAAGCCCACTTCCCTCTGGTCTCTGCAGGTTGCGAACCTGTGCCTCCTCGAAGACCAAGGAACCACTCTAGCAACAGGTATAGTATCCATTTGTCATCTCTGCATGGATTCCCAAGCTGGGGCAGTGTCCATGGCTATTAGGGGTGGCTTAGACCTGCTCATGCCATTTTCCTTGGGCCCTCCTTAGGGATCCTGGGTCATGGGTGGGCGAAAAGAAGGTTCCCATTAGTCTTCTATCTTGGAACTTTTAATGGTGAAAAGGGAGGCTGACATTTCTTTCTGAAACAGGTTGCTTAAGAGAAGCCACATAGAAGTGGAATGTTCTTTGGAGCCAGGAGTTAGGAAATTTTAGTAGCAGTCCTGGTTTTGCCATTTACCCATTATACATGTTTGAGCAAACCCTTTCTCTGTTCTAAGACTTATTTTTTGGTCTCTTCTGCAGAAAAGAGGAGGGGAAGGAATAAATGAATAGTGCCTAAAGACTCTTAGTTTTTATATCCCTTATTTTCATGGTTGTTCAGCTCTCATTTAAGAAAGAACTTGAGAGTGATGCTGAGTAAGTATCTCTGTGTGGGGCTGAACAGGGCCTTGAACCATGCCTGCAAAAAAAATCCAGACTTCTCCCAGTAAGAGGTGGCCTAATTGGGTCAGTTGCAGAGTATAGGTTCTGCTGCTTGTAAAGGTGTGCTAGCTTTCCCAGAGTAGATCAGGGGACAAATGATATTTTATGTAGTATAACAGACCAGGAAAAGAGCTTTCAGAGTCTCTCATTATCATTCCATGTATATATCCATCTTTTCTTCCTATGGGTTTGACCAGCCTTTCTCAACTGAACCTATTTTCTTGTGTATACTCTATTGGATAGGGATAGACTAGAACATCAAAAGTGGAAATTAAACAAATCTAGTTTCAACTCAGCTACTGACTCTTTCCATTAGAACTGTGATTGCATGGTCTATATGGCTCTTCAACTACCATTGTACTAAGAAGGACTCTTTAGCAACCCCACACCTCTCTTCTTTTTGATGAAGTCAGAAAAGGTGTTCAGGAGGTTGTGGGCACCTCCAGTTTACCCAGGTCTTCTCACTGGAGCTGTTAACCAATTAAGGTGAAGACAGAAAAAAGGACGGTACCAGCCCAGCTCTCTCTCCCATGCCACCCTGAATTCAAACTCTATTCATCAGCTTCCTTGACTGGCCTCCATCCACTGCTCCAGGGACTGACCCAAGGTATCTTCAGGATCCTATAGAGGAGGCTTTGGAAAGCTTACCAGTTTCCTAACTACTCTTCAAGGTAAGTCTTCTTTTCCCTATTTCCAGAGAAGACATCAGAAGCTCCGAGAAAGATTTGCCCAACTCCATGATTGGCTAGTTGTTGCCCAAGGCAACATTAGGATCTAAGTTTGTCTGATTCTTTCCACTATACTATATCTGGTGACTATGATTGTTGCTTTGGCTAAAAGAGCCACACTTCTGGGTGCCTGGGGATGGCTTAGATAAGTAGAGAGGGAAACAAAGGGATAGATGGAAAAGTCAGTTTACAGCCTTAAGTTTGAAGTTACTCCCAGATCTCAAATTAGAGGTACATGTTACCCCCTCGCCAACATACATTCAACTAAAAGACTTAAGATTTAAATTTAAAAAATCTTACCTTTTATAGAAAGACAACCCCCTTTGCCTTATCTTAGCTGGGACAGGGCCTTTTGGCCTCAGAGGGGAGTTTCCCATTCCTGATAACCTTGGAATGTTTCTCACTTTTCATGGCAGTATTTAATATAGGCCAGCTACTTTCTCACAGACCAACTACTACATCTAGGAAGGGGAGAATTTTGACATAGACTACCTAGAATTTTTTGGAATAGAATCTGAGTGTTGTCAAGGGAATTCTCCCAGAAGTTCCAGGCCTGACCATGCTCCTGGAAGCTTCCTTATTTTCCTGACGGCTATAGGTTGAGGGATCCCAATGCCTATCTTTTGCCATTCTTGTTGATGTGTCTCCCTTTTCTCAGAGAGATAACAGAACAGTGAGTTAAAAGGATCAATGAGGAAAGCTGGGGGGCACAATGGGGTGATATAGGGAACAGCCCTAAAAGGAACAGTTTGTATGACCTTTAGCAACTATCTTCTCTAGTATGAGCCTTTGTTTCCTCATTTATAACATTTATAACATGAGTAGGTCAAACTAGATGATGGTCCTTTTATAGTTGCCATTTTAGAGTCCTGATGGGACAAAGGGACCATATTAGGCAAGGCTGATGACATAAGAAATTCCTGTTTCATGTGTCCTGACCCTTTCAAATCAATTGTCAATGGTTCTTGCTTTCTTGCTGGTAGTACAGTCACCATTTTTTTGAACATTTGTTATATATTTCTCACAATAACTTATTAGGTAAGTACTGTATTTATACACATTTTGTAGATATGGAAAACAAGCTCAGAGGAGAAATTACCCAAGGTTTCCAGAGCCAGGATTCAAACCCATGTTTAATCTTAAAGCACAGGTTCATAACTAGAGCACTGTTAGAATATAGAGTGTTGAGAAGTAGCTGCATGGACACCGACTCTGGAGCCTGGTCCTTTCCCAAGGTCAGGAAGGTAGGGCAGTAACCAAATTGTTCTCTCTATGCTGCATAGAGGAGGCTACTGAAGCTCAGGACATCTACAAATGCCATAGCTATAAGACTTATACTTGAGGACCTCCGTAGCTGACACTGGGGCCTCATCTGTGGTCTCAACTGGGCCTTCTCTACATACACTCAAGATCTATCTTCTGATTAGGAGACTTTATGCCTATTTTTCTCACTTCCTTATTCTGGTCTTTATCTAGTCCCTACAGCCTCTGCTGTTTCCCTGGGGCTCAGGATGTGACTTGTTTTTCTCTTTTCCCTTCTAGGATTACATCTCTCAGGAAGAGCTCACCTCCTGTTGAAGCTCCTGGCCCAGGCTTCTGCAGTGCCATGCTCCGTGTATTTGACAAGCTGAGTTGGACACTCCATGTGGTAGAGTGTCAGTTTGTCAAATACCCCAAGTGTGGCACATGCTTAACATCGTAGGCCAGGACAGTTGGGATACAACAATAGACTGCCAGCTGGACACAAGAATGCTCAGCAAAGCCCTTACAAGTTATTTTCAGTCACTTGGAAGGATCTGAAGCACTGTATCTGAGGGTGCCAGGGGAAAAATGAGGCAGCTCTGGGAACTACAGCCTTGGGCTGTGTCTATATATAGTATGGGAACCTGAGGGGGCACAGCAGTCTTGAGAAGGTATACAGGGAACAGTGATGGAAGTGCTCCTTGATACATTATTTTCTTTCTTCATGTTCCCCTATTAGAGTGTCCCAGCAAGGACACTAGAGTTCTCATACAAGTATCATGGTGGGGCTTAGAAACACCTTCTCTGACATTCAGCCTTGGCTTTCAAACACACTGAACTTACCTGTCTCTCTCCTTTTCTGCATGCCTTTTCTTCTTCTGGGAACCATCTTCTCCATTTCTCTCCACTTGCCCCATTCTTTCTCATTCTTCCTGACTCAGCTAAAGTCTCCCCAGGGAGTTTTAAAAGTCAACCTGTACTCTTTCCTTTTTTTATTCTCAAAGCTCTCCTTGCTTGGGTCCTTGTATTTTCCCTTTTGTCGTGGCTCAATGGCACTTTTTGAATTGTTGGTGAACTTTTCCAGGGGATATTTTTGAATCCCCCACTAGACTGTGAGCTTCTAGATGACAAGACTGTGTCCTTGATTATTGTTTCCCCATTCCATTCCTACTTTAGCCCTTATCTCAATACTCTGGTTGTAGAAATTATTCAATAAATATTTACTGATTGATTGACTTTTCACTAGTCCATTAGATTTTGGCCTTTGGGGAAAATTCCACTCAGGAATTTTGTGAGAAAAATTATATCGTGGTCACCACAATGTTACAAGGTGTGTGAAGTAATTGCCAAAATGGAGGGTTTTCTTCCTGTGAAATAAAGTCAAGGACTGGAGAAGGAGGACAAAATGTAGGCTTAGAAGAAACATTTTCCTAGTCTATATGATTGTGGATTTTCTTTTTTTCTGTGGGTCATCTACTGGGTCTAATGTTCAATGCAACAAAATTTGGGAAACTGCCTTAGAGGAACTTTCTATCTTTCCTGTCTTTTGGAGATCTCTTTTTTACTTCTCTACTTTCTCCTGACCAGTCACCTGCCTAAGACATATCTTATGTTATCATCCTATTTTTGTTTAGCCTATTCTAACCCTATACGTAGGACTCTTTTATTAATTTGTCTTGTTAAACTCTAAGCTTTTGGGGAAAGATGATCTCTAGAAGTTTCCTGCTGAAATGAATATATGCTCTTAGGAGTACACAGATCTGATTTCTGGCTTCTGTTCTACCACAGAGTTGATGTGTGTTACTTTAGACAAGTCATTGTTCCTCTCTCGGCTTCATTTCCTCATTTTTAATATGGGAGAGTTAGAATTAGTAATCTTTAAGGTAAGACAAGAGACTCTGATATATCCATGGGGGTCCACAGCTTCTATGGAAAGGGTTTTCTGGATTTGGAGCTCTTTTGGCCAATGGAAATGAACCTAGGAATTCTCTCCCAAACCTCAGTAATTCCTTTCTTTAAGGTTAATAGTATAATGGCAGTTTTCAAAGGCTGTAGAGTCTGGACACAGAGCTGTTTAATGAAGGAAGCTGAGGTTTCCATTGGGTGGGGGATAGATTTGTTTCATAGATTTGTAAGCATGATGGGGAAGAAGAGGTTGCTTTTGTCACCAGCTGTATGAAGCTGGCATCTGGGGATGAGGAAAATGCTGAGCTTTTGACCATGGGCTTGGTAGGTTAGAGGTGGTAAAGTGGATGACTCCTCCTTGTGAACTATTGTGTACTGTTGTGACTTCTGTAATCATTCAAAGGGGGAGCAGTTCTTGGTGAAACCTGGGCTGACCTTGGGGCTGCATTGGAACTAGAGAGGCAACCTGTTAGCTTCTATGAAAAGTGAAGTTGATTTGACATGAATTACATGAGGGAAAGGAAACAGTGTTGGCCTGGCCCAGAACAGGTCCCAATAGAGGAGACTGATTTAAAGGTATATGCATAGGTGTATACACAGACACACAAACACACAGACACACAGACACACACACACACACACACACACACACACACACACACACACACACACACACTCTTATTCCCCATTCCTGCTTGAGGTAAAAGACTTCCTTGCTCTGACCCCAACCCCACAGGAGGAAATGTAGGAAGGGGTCAGGAGATAAAGATGACCTATAAAGAATACAACTACACTAAAGATTTTAGAATTCCAGGAGCTTGGAATCCTTGAGGGTAGTCAACCACACTTTGGAAAGAAGAAGATCCCTTTATCTCTGCATCCATAGTCCCCTGAGACAGAAGAAGAGCTCCTTCTTTTTCAGGTTTCCAACTGACCTGGGCAGAGTCATCTAGGTGGAACTAGAAGGATGGTTGGGAAGGGAATATAAGGCAGTTGAATACTGTTTTACCAAAGATTCATTGTGCTCCAGCTGGGTCCACCTCCGAAGCGAGGTAAGGGTTGCATGGTTGGGAAGGAGAAAGACCAAAAAAAAAAAAAAACAGAGGTACTATCCATACTTCCAGGGCCCCAACTATTTCAAACCAGTCTCACATTAACCACTGTTTACAGGTCCTTAAGAGAATACCAATTTTACCAAGGTTGCTATCATGATTAAATATTTATTGAGTGCCCCAAAAATATCAGAGCACTAGACTCACAGTGCATAAGCAGAATTTAATCCTGGCTTGTAACATGGGATCTGAATTAAAAGCTACCTAACCCTGGAGAAAGGGAAGTGATCCTGGACACAACTGGTCACTTGAGCTGGCAGAAATGAGCTTCCCTCTGGTCTTTGTGGCAAGAGGCCAAAGTTGAGTTGTGTCTGGAAGCATGATGACCAAGTTCTAGGGCTATGGGCACTTCCCTCTGGTGTTTGAAGACAAGCATCAGAAGCCCCAGGTGAGGATGCTAGAAGGGCCTAAGCCTGACCTAGCAGCATGCTTGCTTGAGGTGCATATGGCAACTTCTAGACAAAACCAGTCACTTCTAGGAATCCCAGTGTTGGCAAAGAAGACATGTTGGGCTATCCAAGAAGAGAGATAGCAGGAAAGGGGGCCATGCAGAAGGCAAGGGCTGAATAGCAATTATGTCAGCAGACTCTGTCCTAGTAGGGCATTTTTAACAGACAGTCTTGCCCTCAGCAGACAGATGCTCATGATCTTGGGGAACTGTGTGCAGCAGGCAAGCGTAGTCACCGTTGATCTGGGTGATGATCTTGTAATCCTGGCCCAGGCAATTCTCATCAGAGTAGGTTGCCCAGAGTCTGGGAAGCTGGCTCTTCACTGGAGCAGCCACTTGTGTAGATGGCCACCCTCATGGTTTCACCAGAGTTGCTGGCCTCCCTGGCATGCACCCTGTTACCCAAGATCCCACCATCTGTGAGGAAGAACTTGAGGCTGGGAACCCGGTTCCCCATCCTTCTGCCCCAATTCTTGTCAGCTGACCCTCAGGCACTTGTCACCTAGGGATTCTGGGAACAGACGGCTGGTGGATTTGAATTATCCTGGGTGTTTTTATCCAGGACAGAATCTCAAGTGGTGTTTCAGAGAGGAAGGAAAGCTGTGCCCTGACCTTGAAGGTCTCTGGGTTTAGGATTAGGTTTTTATGAAACCAATTTTCCTCCATGCCAATGACCAACAGAATGGAGGGTCAGAATATGGAAGAGGAGAAGATGTCTTACCTGGCCACTTCATAGGCATGCTCTAGAAAAGAAGGAGGAATCAGGTCAGAAGTTTCCAAGCATGGACCCTGGATACCAGTCAAAAGGTAAGGGAAGGGGACACTGTGAGAAGGATCTCAATATCTCTCAGCTTTTCAAAACCTGGGAGGCATTAGGAAGATGATTGAAACACAGAGATGCAGATTTTTCAGGGAAAAGAAGAGGAAGCTCACTTGGTCACTATTCCCTTTGGCTCTGACTCAGAACATTAGTCTGGAACAATTACTTTGTGTGGTTGAGGGAGGGACACTGGAACTGGACCTACTTCCCACCCAACAATCTTGCCAAAAATCCCTAAGGACTCCTTGTGAGAAAGTTGGCAGCCAGGCCAGAGCCCAGGAAGAAGGGGCTGAATTAGTCTGATGTCAGGAGCAATGGCCTAAGCCATCCAAAATGCATTTATCCCCACCATGCCCAGGAGAGGTTCTGGAATAAGTCACCATTGTCCCCTGGTGTCTGTGGAGAAGTATCTACATTCCATGCAGTCTTAAAGTCTCTAGAGCCTGGTACAGAGATGGATGTCTCTTGATTCTGTCCTCTAGGGCTTACAGTCTTTCAGTGATGTAACTGGGAATGCATGCATTAAAGCAGCATATAATTATCAAATTACTATGTTGTACATCTGAAACCAATGTAATATTGTACATCAGCTATATTCCAATAAAAAAGAAAACACACAACAAAGCAAACGTCACATGCCTCAGGTCTTCTGCCCTGTGATAGACCCCTACATTTCCATATCTTGCCTCCCCCGTTGGCCTGGTAGCTTCCATACTGCAGTGGTTGTATCTTTTTTGTTTTTATATGCCTAGTGCCTGGCACACACTAGGCATTCAGTAACTATGTGTTAAATTGCACTGATGCTCTGAGGCTATCTACCTTATAGAGAGGTAGAAAACAGGAATTCTGGGAAGGAAAAAAAAGCATTGAGGTATGAGGTGTATGGCTTATTTGCCTGTTTAACTCCTTTTAAATGAAAACAGGTTTAAAGGAGTGGTGGGGGTTGAGAAGATAGGCTTTAGCCACATTGCAGAGGACTTTGAATGGAATGCTACATTTTGACCTATCTATCATCAGGGCCATGAGAAGCCCTGAAAGGGCTTAGAGAAACAATTTTATATGGTTATAGTTTATACCATAAACTTGAGACTGTGATGAGTGTTTTCCTTTTAGTAGTCTTGGGATTTGAGACATCTTGGGACTTTAGACATCTCCACAGTTTAACCTCATGGAACATAGTCATGCTAACTGGCCAAGACCAGAGCTTATACTTGGCACCAAAAGAAAGAGACATTAAGGCTCCCTTTCTTCTTTGGTTGGAGAGACCAAAGGTGGAAACCAGGCTATTTGGGAATAGGAGCTGCTACAGAGAAAGATACACTAACATTGGGTAAAATGTCTAGTGCAGCAGACATTGAGGTTTATCTAGACTTTACTTAGAAATCAACTTCCAATTTCTCCTTTTCCTCCTCTGTTGGCTCACAATTGTTATATAGCCACAACAACTGCACCTTCATCTTATAACTCCTCTGCTTAAAAATGTTTCATGACATTTAGTGTCTTTGCAAAGCCTAGAAGAGAAAGTTCCAGTCCCATAACCTGTCATGCAAGACCCTCTATAATCAGGAATGAACTTTCTTTTCCCATATTTCCCCCATTGTTCAGCTACATGATGTTTTTTTTTTTTTATTGGCGACCATACTCACAGTCATCTTTTAAACCTTTGTACCTTTTCTCACCTAGTTCCCCCTTTCTGGAATACTGCTCCCTTCCAAATTGTTTTTATCAATCAAGCCCTGGTTAAGTTCCACCTCCTTTTGAAAGTCCCTGCTAATTACTCCAGCCCTAGTGGACTCTCCTCTCCTGGATCACTTAAGCATTGATTGTCTTCTCTTGGCTTTGAGTCTATAGCCTTTATTGCTAAGTATTGTTATTGATAAACTCCATGCTTCTACCCTGAATACCCTAAATACATGGTAAACAACTTTAGATCAACTCTTGTAAGCAACTTTGTGACTTCTGCTTTTCTTGCATCCTCATTAGATAATCTCTTATAAGGATGGCTGTGCTAGGCTGGGTACCAAAAATTTGTGAATTAACTTCCATAAATTTTATTGTCATTGTTGGTTTGCAAATCTGTCTCCATGCACCCCATATTCAATCCTAAACTAGGCTGGGAGCTTTTAAAGTGTCTAACACAGTGCCTGATGCAGAGTTTATGCCCAACTATACTGTCAGAATGAATGAATGAACATGAGCCACCCACTCATCACTCACCTTGTTGGGATGTCTTCCGACACAGCAAGATATAAGCCTTAACGAAGACCACCATAAAGCACAGGGAGATAATGAGAATGATGGCAAAGATAGGCAGACCCTTTCCTAGGAGGCAAAACAATACCAAGTAGTACCTGTTTGAAAATGAGTCCAGAAACAGAGACTTCAGGTTCAGCTCAGGCCAACTCACAACTCTTTCTTTTCCATTTTCCAACTTCTCATAACCTTCTTAGCTAGCCATAGAGACCAACAAAACCCCAGGCCCATGAGAAATACTTGAGAAAGGCGAGTGACTATGCACATAAACAAGTTCTTCCAGAACCACAAGTTGATGGCTGATTGGCCTGGGAACTGGAACCAGTCCTCCATGCTTTCCCAAAGGGTATTCACCTTCTCTTAGAGTATCCTGATATCCCAGCTTCACAAAAATTCTACCTTATTGAGATTCTGGTCAGTTACTTCTTGCCACAAAGAGTCTTTCCTTTACACTTCATGGCTAAGTACCCAGGTTTCTTTTCCTCAAAACATATTTCCACTGTCTTCTGGATTACTTATGCCAATCATGTCTACAACCTGAAGGAAACTACTGGACTAGGATTCCAGTCCTGGATCTATTATTTACTTGCTTTGTGACTGTGACAGGCCAAATAATAATCCTCCAAAGATGTTGACGTCTAAACCCCAAGAACCTGTGGGTATGTTAGTTTACACTATAAGGAGGAATTAAGGTTGCAGATAGATTTAAAGTTGCTAATTAGCTGACATTGAGATGGGGAGATTATCTTGAATTACCTGAGTGGACTCAACGTAATCACAAGGGTCTTTTACAAATAAAAGAGGGAAATAGAAGAGGAGATCAGAGACAGATTTGAATACTAAACACTGCTAGTTTTGCAACTGGTGGAAGGGAGCCAAGAGCCAAAGAATGTGGCTAGCCTCTAGAAGCTGGAAAAGGCACAGAAACTGTTTCTCTTCTAAAGCCTCCAGAAAGAACACAGCCCTGCTGATATCTTGATTTTAGCCCAGTGTGTCAGACTTCTGATATCCAGAAGTGTAGGATAATACTTTTTTGTTATTTTAAGGTATGCATTTGGGGTAATTTTTATAGCAGTCATAGAAAAATAAACAGAAAAGTCAAATTCTTGACTAGACCTTCATTTCCCCTTACATTCAATGCAAAGATTAGATATTATTAACGCACCTGTAGTTAACAATATTTTGAATCTAGGGGTTGAGATCAAGGTATAGGGAGGGGTAGGGAAAATAATTTCATTGTTCTTAGGATTTGCTGTTGTACCTGGCTTTGTTTTTACAAGATCTCCCAAATATTCTGTCCTAGAAATTTGTTATTTGTGGTCCTCAGAGCTCTGGTTGCAGATGAGAGAATCCAAGATATAGAAAAAAGGATTAAAGATGGTGGCGCGAGAACAGAGACAGAGATTTCCTCCTAAAACTGGATACAATTAGAAAATATAGTTGGTGCAACTAATCTTGAGAGAGCAACAGGAAAGAGGACGGAGCCAGACTGCATACCTCACCGAACAGGGTAATGTACCAGAGCTGTGGCTCCGCGGGACCCAAGCCCTTCCCCAACCCTAGCTCACGGGTGGGAGGAAGAGAAACTGAACAGGGAGGGAGTGGAAGGCTTGGGACTGCTGAATACCTAGCTCCCAAGATCTGCACTGGGAGCACAAACCTACATTTCATGGTGCTTTCATCATACTCTTCTGATTACAGGGTTGGAAAGTTGGGACAGGTGGATTTCCTGGAAAGACTGGGATTCCAGCTGCTTCTGGAAAGCAGGGATCCATAAGCTTTGGGATAAAAGCTTATACCTGTGTGCTCGACCCACTGGTTCAGGCAGTGGAGACAGGCACAGCAGCCGGGAAGCAGGGAACAGCTCTTTCCTCCCCCCAGGCACCAATACCGCTCCCCTGCAACCCCCATTATTGCTTCAGGGGCTGAATAGAGCTTCTGGACACTAGAGGGTGCCATATACAAATATGAAATGCCAAAGAAACCTGGTCGAGAGTAAAATTATTAATACACATACTGAGAAAGTTTTAAATAATATGGACCTCGTGACTCTTCCTGAAAGGGAGTTCAAAATAAAAATCATCAACATTCTAATGGAGGTACAGAAAGACATCCAAGAACTCAGTAATGAATTCAGGTCAGAGATCCAATCATTGAAGAACACAATGGAGGGTATTAAAAGCAGGTTGGATACCGTGGAGGAGATGATAAAATGAAACAGAAACTAGGGAAGAGGAATACAAAGAAGCTGAGGCACAGAGAGATAAAAAAAGAGAGAATCCAAGATATAAACTGATACAGATCAAGGGAAGATTTCACTTTGGAAGGTGTCAAGTAGTGAAAAACTTGATGGGGGATATAGGGCATAGACCTAATGTCTGAGAATTTCCATTCCTTCCAGGGTTATCTTTTCATTTTCCCAAACCAACTCTCCAAGAGGTATCTGATAACCTCCTTTTTCCCACTGTATGTTTGCCCAGGGAGATGAATGAAATTATGAAAGCCTTCAAGCCAAAGGTGGCATATAAAACAGGTTTGAGCTATTCCCAGAGAAAGCCAAAAATCTATGCAGCCAGGAAGGGAGAAGTGGAGGGGGGTATTAAGAAGTCCACCATCAATGATACACAGGCAGAGAATGAGACCAGAAGTGATAGTTATCAAACTATTTGGCACCAACCAATCAAAACAGATGCCTACCATAGACCTGAAGTCTTATAGGTCCCATGGTATACTAAGTATCAATACTTTTGTTGCAGGGCTGTGGGACATTCTGGACAGTTTTGAAGAAAGGGAAGCCCAGATGATAATGAAGAAAATCAGTAGTTAAGGGAAGCATCTAATTATCAATGACTTTAAAAATATTTCCTTACTTTAACAATCAATGCAATCAGATCAGTGCATACCAGCTGATTATCATCTCCAGTAAAACAGAAAAGAGCTTCTCTTTGGGGTTTGGATCTATGAGACTGTGACTTAGGAATCCTTGAAACCTCAGCAGAATCAAAAATCAGCTGCAAGTTGCTTGGTGAGCTCTGGTGAAGAGCTCAAGTAATGAGACCCTGGCATTACCATGATTCAGTGTCCATCTCCCTAGGAAAGCTGGCTGAACTCATGGTCCCATTCCCATTATAAAAGTATATTACTATAGTAACAAAGAACCAGCTAAGAATACATCTAAACTAACCCCTCTATGGCTTTACTCATCCTTTGATCTGTATCTATCTCTTTCCATCCTACCCATTCCAACCATCTTCAGGGCCTTTGACCATTGCTTGGCACTTAACAGGTAATGGTTTTCAGAATTGAATGCCATAGAACAGTGTATATATTGGGAAATTTCATTTGTAAAGTTCATAGTCAAGAAGGAAAGATTGAAGTCCTAATATTGACCTTACCTGGTCCAGCACTGGTCTTCCCAGCATAGCTATCGACTTCAGTAGTCCAGCCCCAGGATGGTTTCACTGTGGATATTACTATGACAACAGGACATTAGGATCAGAGACCTCTCTTCCATCCAAGAGCTGTGGAGTGGATGGTGGCTGCAATGTTTGGGGTTCTTCTCTGTGTTTCTGTGCTGAGCTTTCCATAACTCTTGGCTATGTCATTGACCGCTAGTACTGTGAGGTGACATATTTTAGTTTCTTACTGTTGGTGGTGGGAAAAGGTTCATATAGGGAAAGCAACATACCCAAAGTCCCACAGCAAGTCAGATTAAAAACAGAACAGAAGTCAGTTTTCTCTTTTCCCACTTTCCCCATGGAAGTATTCTCTCTCTCTCTTTTTTTTTTGCCTGAGAAGTTTTCACAAAGAAGAGTACGTATATTCACAATTCTACTTCATGACCCTTAAATCCTTTTTGTCTTTCTTTTATTTATATTCTTTTATTGCCATGTTATCTCTGAAGAACACAGTGGCCTCTTATGACCCATTATACTCTTCTTCCATATAATGGCATTGGGCCTCCTCCCTTGGCTTCCATGACACCATTTAAAATCTCTACTGCTCTCACAGAATCTAAGTAAAGCTCACCTTCCAAGGAGGACTGCATGGTTGTAGGTGCTTCAGTATTGGTCTTGAGTGGCTTTGTGGAGTCTGCAAAGAAGAGGGAGCACAGTCAAGGTCCCTGGCACCCTTAAGGGTACAATGGAGAGCCCTTGGGAAATTGGGAGATAAGTAAATGCCAGTCAAGCCCATGCCTGAGCCTGTCTAAACATGTTTCTCATGATGCTGGAAAGTTGTGTATTACTTGCTCATCCTTCATGTCATTCTAAGGCATGATTCTTAACTCAGAGATCATAGATCCCCAAGGAATGTAAAACTAGAGTGCAGAACATTTTTCAACTTTGATAAGAAAAGATATTTTGTTTCTACTAACTTCTGAGGAATAACTTCTGAAATTTAGCTATTCATTCTTTTGAGAGGGACTGAGGAAATATCACAAAGAAGGTGACAGTATGTGATGCCAGTGGAAATGGTAATGACCTCTGAATAGTCACCTCTTCACAAAAACAATGAATTAACTGGCAACATTTTCCATAATTGGCTTTTTCTTCAGAATTTGGAAAATTAGCCAAAAGTTTACATCAATCCCAGGAGCATTTATAGAAGAAGAAAATCCCTGTGATCTTAAGAACAACAATTTGTTATGGCATTTTAACTTACTCTAACCTGATCACCTCTTCCATGGCCAGTAGTATCCTTAAAAATAAACCCCATTCCCTATGCTGGATTGAACAGAACAATTTAATTTCCCCAAAATGTGATTATTTGACCTGTGTGGTGGTTCTCTACCTCAAAATGCCATTTTTATTGGTCACCCAGTGGTAAAACTCTCCCCACGGGGAGGGACATCTGTCACACAGCTGCCTAAAGCAATGGATGGCAATTGAGGGAAACAAGCGACTAATGAGAAAAACTTGAAAGGAAAAACTGAGGAATAAAGTGTCCATTGAAATTTGAAAAGCTCTGACACACGCCAAAGAATCTAAAAGGCCACAGACATGCATAGGACTGTGTGTATGATCGGGGAAAACATGAAAAGGTTGTAAGTTCTTACCTCTGGCTAGGTTTAAGGCTCTGTGTCAACAGGAAGTAAAGGCTGTAGCACAGTTATAAATTGGGTGATTGTTGAAGACATATTTCAACAGGCAACGAGCCCTTTAGTAAAAACTGGGAGATTTATTGGTTCCGGATATTTTAAGAAAAGCTCTATCCAATCATTATCTGGCTAATAGGTTAACTGAGTAGAGACTTCAGTGGCTATCCATGACAAAGAAAACAGAAGACTGTACAGAATTAGTTCAGAAAAGTCACTAAAAAAATAGCAACTAATACAACAAGCAGTGCCAACAAGCCCTGGAGAGAGAGAGGGAGAATCAGATTTCCAGAGTTGCCACATCATATTATTTAAAAAGTCCAGTTTTCAGAAAAACACGAGATATGCAAAGAAACCAGAGTATACCTCATAAACAGGTAAAAAACAATTAATGGAAACTGTTCCTGAGGAAGCATAGATGTTTGGACTTACTAGACAAACATTTTAAATAAGTTATTAAAGATATATTTTTAGAAAAGGAAACTACTTTTAAAAAACTAAAAGGATGAGAACAATTCAAACCGAAAGGAGAATATCAATAGACAAACTGTAGAACAGAAATACTGGGGTTTAAAAGTAATAACAGAAAAGAAAAATAAATCACTAGAGGGAAAAAAATTCACTAGAGAAGATTTAAGCAGGCAGAAGAATTAGTAAATGTGAAGATATGACAATTGAAACTAACCAGTTAGAGAAACAGAAAAGGAATTTAATGAAGAAAAATCAACAACACTTCAGAGACACTATTAGTGTACCACCATACATATAATGGAAAAGGGCAGACAGAGCAATTAAAGAAGTAATGTCAAAATATCCCAATTTGATGAAAAACTTTAAATTTCAAATACAAAAGCTCACTGAACTCCATGTAAGAAAGATTTTCTAAAACAATCCATACCTAGACACATACTCAAAAGCCAAAGCCAAAGAGGGAATATTGAAAGCAGCAAGAGAGAAGCAATTTATCATGCACAAGGAATTCTCAATAAAATTAATGACAGATTTCTCATTGGAAAAAATGGAGGCCATAAGGCATTGGGACACATATTCAAAGTACTGAAAGAAAATTTCTATCAATCAAGAATTTCGTATTTTGCAAAACTGCCCTTCAAAAATCAACGAGGTATTAAAACATTCCAAGGTAAACAATAACTAGGAGAGCTTATCACCAGCAGATCTGCCCTGCGAGAAATCCTAAGGGAGGGGTATTTGTTGTGCTGAAATGAAAGGATAGTAGCTTGATAGATAGTAACTTGGATCATCATGAAAAAATAAAGCACCAGTAAAGATAACTAAATAAGTAAATATAAAGAGAGTATAAATGTATTTTTGTTTGTAACTCTTTTTTTACTGATTTAAAAGACAACTACATAAAGCAATAATTATAAATCTATGTTGATGTGATTATATTGTATAAAGATGTAATTTGTTACAATAATAGCATAAAGGAGGAACAGAGCTATTTAGAAACAAAGTTTTTAAATACTATTAAAATTAAGTTGGTGTGATTCCAAACTAGACTATAGTAAACAAGGAATTAATGGTAATCTTAGTTACTATAGGACAACCACCAAGAAAATAACTTAAAATATATAGTAGAAGAAACAATCAAATAATTACTTGTTACACTAGATAATACCTATTTAACACCTCAGACAGCAGGAATGAAGCAACAGAGGGATAAGAAGGACAAGCTATATTGAAAACCAATAGCAATTTGGCAGATATAAATGCTACCTTATCAGCAATTACATTAAATGTAGATAGATTGAACTGAATTCTCAAATTTAAAGACAGAGATTGGGAGAATGGATAACAAAACACAATCTAATTACATGCTATGTATATTTAGGATTCAAAGACACAAATGGTTTGAAAGTTAAAGGACCGAAAAAGATACACCATGCAAATAGTAATCTAAATGAATCCAGAGTATCTATACTAATATCCAATAAAATAGACTTAAAGAGAAAAATTATTATTAGACAAAGAAGGACATTTTATTATTTTAAAGTGTCAATCTATCCAGAACACACTACAATTATAAACACATATGCTCTTAACAACAGAGCCCTGAAATACATGAAGCAAAAGCTGAGAGAATCTTAGGGAGAAATAGACAATTCAACAATGATTGTTTGAGGCTCCAATACTCCAGTTTCAATTATGGATAAAACAACTAGATAAAAGATCAGCAGGGAAATTGAAAATTCCAACAACACTGTTAACCAAATGGACCTAGCAGACATGTACATAACACTCCACAAAACAAGAGCAGTACAAACATCCTTCTCAAGTACATATGGAACATTATCCAGAACAAACCATATGTTAGGCCATAAAATACATCTCAGTAAGTTTGAAACAATTGAAATAATGGAAAGTATGTTCTAGAACCACAATGTAATAAAATTAGAAATAAAAAACAGAATGAAATTAGGCAAATTCACAAATATGTGGAAATGAAACAACACACTCCTAAATAACCAATGGGTTAAATAAGAAATCATTAGGAAATTATAAAATACTTTGAAATGAATGAAAATGAAAACAAAGCATACCAAAACTTATTGGAGGCAGTGAAAGCAATGCTCAGGAGGAAATAATTGCTATAAATATCTACATTAAAAAATAAGAAAGATCTCAAGTCAATAACCTAATTTTCCACCATAGAAAGAAATCTAGAAAGAGAGGAGCAAACTAAACAGAAAAAAAAAGCAGAAAGAAGAAAATAAAGATTTAGTACAGATAAATGAAATAGAAATAGAAATCAATAGAGAAAAAACCCACAAAATTTGGTTATCAGAAAAGATCAACATAATTGACAGGTCTTTAGCTAAAGCAACCTAAAAAAATGAAGGAATAAAGTTACTAAAGTCTATAGTGAAAGAAGGAACATTCCTACTAAACTTGTAGAAATAAAAAAAATTATAAGGTAATACCATGATCAACTATAAGATGTGAATTAGCTAAGATACAAAAGACAAATTTCAGAAATTCACAAACTGCTGGAACTGAAAAAAATAGAAAACCTGAATAGGTAGAACTTTAACAGGCAAATTGATTGGACTGTTAATCAATCAACTTCCTATAAAAGTAAAGGATAGGGCCAGATGGCTTCACTGGTGGCTTCTGCCAAAGGTTTAGAGAAAATTAATGCCAATTCTTCACTAATTGTTTAAAAAATAAGTAAGGTGCACTGCTCAACTTATGAGACCATATTACCCTTGTACAAAATCCGAAAAAAAATCAAAAGACAATAAAACTAAGAACAAATAACCCTTATAAATATAGATGTAAAACTAATTAACAAAATAGTTAGCATACCAAATCTAGCAGCAAATTAAGAGGATTATTCACTATGACCAAGTGGGGTTTATCCCAGAAATGCAAGATTAGCTCAACATATGAAAATAAGTCCATGTAACTCTACTAATAGAATAAAGGAGAAAAAAACACATGGTCATGTTAATTGACAGAAAATTCTCTTGACACAGTCCAACACTCTTTCATTATAAAAACACTTGACAACTAGAAAGAGAGGTGAGCTTTCTCAACCTGATAAAGTGCATCTACAAAAAACTCACAGATAACATCATACTTTATAGTGAAAGACTGAATGCTTTTCTGGTAAGAATATAAACAAGACAATTATTATGGCTATTCTCACCATGCCTATTTGCCACTGTGCAGTAGGTACTGGTCAGGGGAATTATGCCAGAAAAATAAATAAAAAGGCATCCAGATTTGAAAGGAAGAAGGAAAATTATTTCTATCTTCAGGTGACTTAGTCTTATATAGAATATCCTAAAGAACCTACAAAACAATGATTAGAGCTAATAAATGACTTTAACAAGGTTGCTGGATATAAGATTAATAGACAAATAACAGTTATATTTCTGTACACAAGCAATGAAGAATCCAAAAATGAAATTAAGGAAACAATCCTATTATACCAGCATCAAAGTAATAAAATATTTAAAACAAATTTAACTTT